CAAAGAAAAATTAATTAAATTTAAAAAAATAACAGCATTTTTAAAAAATAAATAAATTAGATATCAATTGTATATATAAATGCACTTTTAATTGATTGTATCTATAAATAAAACATATTATATTATATATAAATTTTTTCTACAATTAACTAAAAATTGCAAGTTTAAATTATTTAAATTGAAAAAATTTATAAATTTATATTTATTTATTAATTTTTAAAAAAGTGCAATGCTATTTTTATGTTGAAAAAATACTATTGAAAAAAATTAATTAAATATATTTAACCATATATTGTAATATATATTTGTTTTAAATAAATTAGATATCAATTGTATTATATAAATGCACTTTTAGTTGTATGTGTAAAAAACACATAATATATTATATATAAGTTATTTCTACAATTAAACTAAAAATTGAGCAAGTTGAACAAGTACATTAAAAAAAATTATTTAAATTAAATTAATATTAATTTATTTTTTAAATAATAAATGCAATGCTATTTTAATATATGAACAAAAATACTATTGAAAAAAATTAATTAAATATATTTAACCATATATTGTAATATATATTTGTTTTTAAATAAATTAGATATCAATTGTATATATATAAATGCACTTTTAGTTTATCTAATTGTATCTATAAAAAACATGATATATTATTTAAATTATTTCTACAATTAACTCAAATTGAACAAGTACATTTTTATAAAAAAAAATTATTTAAATTAAATTAATATTAATTTATTTATAATTTTTTCTAAAAAAAGTGCAATGCTATTTATATATATATATGATCATAAATACTATTGAGAAATAAATAAATTAAATATATTTAACCATATATTTTATATACAGTATATTGTAATATATATATATATATATATATTTGTTTATAATAAATTACTATTATTTAATTATTTTATCTATTATTGCAATAAATTTAATAAATTAAAGAAAATAATTAAATAATTTTAATTTATTTATTTATTAAATTTATTAATTATTTAGTTGTATACCCTGGTAGTCCACCCGATTCCATATGGTTGGCCAATGTTACATCATTGGACCAGACATCAAACTGCCATTTTCGTAGGCCTATTACTCCACACAACACTGAGCCCGAGTGTATGCCAATCCTATTAATATAATAATAATAATAATAATAATAATAATAATACCAACAAAAAAAAACATAATAATAAAAATTAATGTCAAAAATTGTCGTCTACTTTAGTAGTATATAGTATAGAATTTATATATAGATTACTAAACTATATATTATTATTATTATTATATTATGTATAAAATCAAAAAATAAATACAACATATATATATATATATACTGTATATATATTAATATAATAAATAGATATATCTATATTATTATTTTTATTACACTTAATATTATATATATATATATTATTATATAAATTAGTGTATTATTTTTTTAGTATTAGACATTTCAAGTGTGTATAATAATCTAATAATATGATATATATATATATAGTATAGTATAAATATGGGGTTTAAATATATATAATAATAATAATAAGTTAGTTTTATATTAATATACACTGTATGTGTATTTATCTAATATATAATTTACAATTTATATAAATAATATGATATAAGTTGTAATAGTAATAATACTAATACTAATATAGTGTAAACAATTTTAATAAATTTTAAACTATTAAAAAAAATTTTTTTGTAGACATAAGTTATATTAATGACTTGTAATAATTTAAATTAATTAATATATTTTTGAGATTAAATATATACTGTTTAATAAATAATTTTTTATTTGTAATAAGATTAATGATAAATTTGTTTTTTTTATTAAAAATATATTGTAATTTAGAAATTGATTTAATTTTTCTATTATTTTTACAAAAAAATAAAAAATAAAATAGTATTTGCATAATTTATTTTTATTATTTTTTTATTATTTCAGTATTTAATATACAAATTTTATTTATATTATTTGTATATCAAATGATTTATCCCATAAAAAAATAAAGGCAAACATTAACAACAAAAATTAGTTGTAGAAAATAAATAAATAAATCTAATATCAAAAAAAATAATAAATAAATAATACATATAAAATAGCAAAATAAAATTCATTGAAATAAAATACTGTTTAAACGACACCCTAAACATATTGCTTGTTATATAATAATAATAATAATACTGTAATATAAAACACTATTGATATATATATATATATATAAATAAATCTATATATTGCTAAATACTATAGTTTTTTATTTGTATGTATTTAATACTAAAATGTTTTGTCACGTAAAATCTCTACTCTATTGTTATCCTCTAATATATATATATATATATATATATAGTGTATATCGAAATGTTTTAGTTTTAATATACTATATATATATATAAACTGTAAATATATTTGGCTTTTCAAAGTTAGGATTTGTCTTTCAAATGTATTAAAGTTTTATATACAGTATATATATATATATATATTTACTGTAAACTTATAACTTATATTTATATATATAAATAGATAAAAGCATCGATTGATTTACATTATATTCACATCACGGGTAAAAGTAAATCCTATTGAAGTAATATATATATATATATATATATATATAATATATATAATATATATGTATATATATAATATATACAGTATTGATATATACTGTAAATACTTACACATATATATAAAACTAATGTTTACCCTATTGTTTAAAAATTTAAAATCACTATTTGCTAAAAAACACATTATTTTAATTTAGATTTTTAGTTTCACTGTTTGCACACTTATATATATATATATATACTGTATATAAATACTGTATATATATAATATAATATATATATATTGTATTTTTCTATACAGTATATCACAATAACAACAAAAAAATTTATATAAATAACTAATATATTAAATACCCGTATATTTATACCAAACAACAAACATATATATATATAGTATTTCATGACATTTATAAATAAAAAAAATTATTTTCAATTGTTTTAAATTGATTTATAAAAAATACTAAAAAATTTATTCTAGCATTAAAAATTAAATTGCAATTTAATTATTTATTTATTTTTAAATTTATAAACTTTTGTGTTATTGTTTTGAATGATAAATTGATTTTAATAATTTATAATCTAATCATTGATATATATAATAAAAAATTTATATTACATATACTGTATATATATTGATATATATTATAATTATTTAGAAATATCGAGATTTTTTGTTTTTGTTGTTAATGTTTTAATGCAAATAAATAAATATTTAATTAATAATAATAATAAATTAATATTAAAAAAACCCAAAATTCAATTAGTTTTCATAGTTTTCAAAGTTAATAATAATCAACAATACAAACAAACAAAAACAATTAATTTATATTAATAATACATATAATAATACAGTAACAAAAAAATATTTAAAAATTTAAGAAAAAAAACTAAACTATTTATACCAACAAAAAAAATCAAAATAAAAACTTTTTGATAATTTATTTAAATAACAACAACAACCAAACAAAAAATACTACTATTAATAATAATAATAATAATAATAATTTTTTTAAACCCACAAAATTATGACATATTTTATATATATATATATATATATATCTATAATAATTACCTCATATTGAGATCAACGCCTGTTTTTTGGCGAACTCTCCTAAAATAATAATAATAATAATAATAATATTAATGATATATTAGTTGTGTCGGGTTATATAGTGGGGATGGGATGGGATGGGTGGGGATTATGGGGGGGGGGGGTAACCATTACTTGATGGCCTGAATCATGTGAAGACCCATTTCCACACAACAGGCCGCGTGATCGGCCCGGGCTTCGGGTAAACCGCACACACAATAGTAACAGTCGCCCAATAGTTTGATTCGGTGACAGTTATTATCCTAAATATATATTTATTTTTTAAAATTATTTTTTTTGTGTCAAAAAATTAAGTAAATATATATTTAGATAATTTCATACAATTTTAATTAACCAGAAAACAACAATAAAATTATTTAATTAAATAATTGCATAATAAAAGATAATTTTTTTTTGTATTTAATCTATAATATTTAAAAACTCTATAAAAAACATATTAATGTGTTATTTAATAGCTATTATTATGAGTTTTTTTTTGAAAAAAATAAATAATTACTGTATAATTCAAAAAATTATAAAACATTTTTAATTTATTGTTGTTTTTTTTAAAAAAAATAAATATTATTATCTATATTATTATTATTATTATTATTTACATTATTATATCTATCGTTGAATTAAATTTTTATTTAAAAATTAATTTAAATATATGTGTTATTAATAATTTAGAAAATTTCTAAAAATATATTTTTTATATAATTAATTAAAAATTGAAAAAAATCTTGTATTTTCATTATAGTTATAAAATTGATAAAATCATATATAATTAGACACACACCCACACACCCCCTACTCCTATCCACACACCCCACCATAAACACATACCTGTGCGAGCTTATCAAATCTGGCAAACAAATCGTTCAATACTTTGACCAATTCCTGTGCTGAGCACCGGGAGGCCAGTGCCGTAAAGCCTTGTATATCAGCAAACAGTATACTATATATAATATTGAAAATATTGAAAAATAAAACAATTTATATATATATATATAAATAAATTTAAAGTATTATTTTAGTAGGAAATGGGCTAAATAGAAATTTTCGATAAATAAAAATAAATAAATTTCCCAGAGAAAATTCCCATAGAAATCTTACTTTATTATCCCTATTAGGATCCCTATATCTATAGCTATTGTAAATTATTATTTAATATATATTAATACTAATCTAATACTAATAACATAAATCCTTATATATATATATAGTTTTATAAAAAAATTTATTTGTAATCATTTAATTATATTTATTAATTTAGTTTATAATTAATTAAGCAGTAATAATATTTAACTTTTTTAATTAAAAAAATATATATATAAAAACAAGATAACTAATAAAAATTATGAGATAAATGTTTTAAAAAAATTAACCATGGAGATCCCATAAACGAAAAATTTATGAAATTAGAAACTTTCAAAAAAATCTATTATTTTTTTAAAATAAAAAACTTTCCTAAAAAAATTCTCTATTATTTATTTAATAAAAATTTCTATGTTTTTTTGCCAACACTAATTAATTATAATTAATATAATTAATAATTATGATTATTATTATTAATAATTATGATTAATTATTATTAATAATTATGATTAATTATTATTAATAATTATTATTAATAATTATGATTATTATTATTAATAATTATGATTATTATTATTAATAATTATGATTAATTATTATTAATAATAATTATTAATAATTATGATTAATTATTATTAATAATTATGATTAATTATTATTAATAATTATTATTAATAATAATAATTATTATTATTACCTGACATTATCATAGCAATGTATGTAAATTTTATGAAACTGTGTGGACAGTATGGACCTGTTGTGGTGATTGTGTTGTTCATCCTCTTTGGCCAAATCGCTGATTATCTCCATTGCCACAAATCGGGGCAATAGTGATAACAATAGGCGCTCCTAATTATACATTCAAACAAAAAAAATAATTATTATTATTATTATTATTGTATTTTAATATATTTAATAAATTATTATTAATAATAATATTGATATATATATATAAAAAATTTTTATATATAAAAAAATTTTGTGAATAAGTATAGAGAGAGAGAGAGAGAGAGAGAGAGATGAATAGATAAACATATAAATGTATTTCATATTATTAATAATAAAAATAATTTTATTAAAAAATTAAATTAAATATATTTTTTTAAAAATATTATATATATTCTATAATAATATAATTATTTTTTGTTGTTGAAATAACTAAAATATTTTTTTAGTCTATACTATTTTAGTATACAAAATAATATTATAACAAAAAAATTACCCTTAAGTTACAAAATACAGTAAAAATTGTTTTGCATTTTTTATTTTATTGTATTAATACCAAAAAAAAAAATGCTTAAACAAACATATTTTTGTTTGATATGTATATATATATATTATATACTATATATAAACTTATAAATATATATATATATTAATCTAAACTTTAGATATCTTTATCTAATTTTGTGAAAATAAATAATAAAAATATGAATATATTTTTTTCTACATAACAAAAGATAATTTTTTAATATAATGACTATTGTATTGCATAACAATAAAAACCATTTATATATATCATAATTAATATATACAATACAACTATACAAATAATACAATTTATATAATAACTGTTTAAAATTATATACTACTACTACTACTACTACTACTACTACTACTACTATAACAAAAATGTTATATTTTAATTAAATATATATAATATACTATAGAAATATTTAAAATTAAATAATTTTAAAGCAATTTTCATTTTTATTATTTTTGGTATTTATATATTTCGTTTAACACATATTTGTAACATATATTAAATAAAATTTTTAAAAAATAATTTTTCATATGATATCTAAATATTTAAAATATTTATATAATATTAAATTATTATTATTATTATTAATTAAAGTATAGCTAATTAGATAAAAATAAAACTTAATTAAATAGCTAATTAATATTGTTTTTAAAATATAGTCATTAATAATAATAATAATAATAATAATAATAACTTTATTTATCATAATTTATTATATATATATGTCATTATATGTGTCAACAATACTATTAGGAAAAAAACTATATATATATATATCAAATATATTTATAATTTATTAAAAAAAACACTGAGTTTTTATATCATAATTAACAGTAAAAATATATTAATGATTAATGATATTCATTGGGTTATACAGTATAACTGTATATAACTTTATTCAGGGTTATGGGGATATTCATAAACAAACGTCCATAGATAAGGGGGGGGGTTAGTCAAACAAATTTTAAAAAATATACTCTATATATAATAAACAAAATTTTAGTTGTATTGTGTGTGTGTGTGTGTGTGGGAGGGAGAGGGGGCGTCAAAAAAATAAGGGGGAATTAAGTGTATTAAATCAATATCCAAAACTTTTACAACAAAAAAAATAACTTATAAAATATTAGTTATTTTTTTGTTTGTTTTTTTTGTAAATTTTTTTCTGGAGATAATATTATTATTATTATTATTATTTAAGTTTTAAATTTTTTTTTGTATACCAGTAAATACCGTGTTAGTAAAAATATTATTATTAAATTATATATATATACTGTATATATATATATTAAAATATAATATATATATTATGTATTTAAGGTATTTATTTTCAATAATAATAATAATATAGCAACTAGTATTTAATGTACCATGTATAATCCTATTATTATTATTACTCCCAATAATATTATATGATATTATATACTCACAAAAAAAAATAAATATTAAAAATCCTCTTTTTCTCTATAAATTTCTATTAAATATATATATATATATACAAAATTTTTATAAAGATTTATTAAATTTTAAGTATATATACAGTATACATTATATATTATACATAGTGTGTACTGTATTGTATAGTTCCTGTATATGTGTGTATGTGTGTGTATCTGAGTGTGTGTGTGTGTATGTATGTATGTATGTATATGTATGTGTATGTATCTATTTATGTGTATGAATGTGTTTGTGTATGTGTATTTATTTGTGTGTATGTATATATCATATATAGGCATGTGTGTATGTATGTATGTGTGTGAATGTATGTATGTATGTGTGTGTATGTATGTGTGTATATGTATGTGTGTATATGTATGTGTGTATGTGTGTATGTGTGTGTATGTATGTGTGTATATGTATGTGTGTATATGTATGTGTGTATGTGTGTATGTGTGTGTATGTATGTGTGTGTATGTGTGTATGTATGTATGTGTGTATATGTATGTATGTGTGTGTATGTGTGTATGTATGTATGTGTGTATATGTATGTATGTGTGTGTATGTGTGTATGTATGTATGTGTGTATATGTATGTATGTGTATGTATGTGTGTGTATCTGTCAACATATAGATATCTTTTATTATGTATGCTTCAATTGAAAATGTATTTCATGTATATAATATTGAGCGAAAAAAAAATATTTATTAATAATATATTGAAATATTTTTTGTTGTTGTAAAATACCTAAAAAAATTTTTTGCTTATAAATTTTTGTTTGACTACAACACCATATCATATCAAACAACACTTACTGTATTTGAATAGAAAAATTAAAATTTACTAAATTATACGTAATATATATTAATTTTAAAACATTTAAGTTTCAAATAATATATATATATATATACAGTATATATATAAGTATAATAATAATATATTATTCATAATGATCTCAATTATTATTATTATTCATTGATAATATATATATGTATATATATATAATAATAATAATAATAATTTTAAATATTTCAAACATATTAGTGGTATATTAAAAAAATCAAAACAAAAAAAATATTAAAAACAAAAAAATTTCGAATAAAATATTCAAAAAAAAAAAATTATTATTTAGTATTAATTATATATATATAGAGATAAATACATATTCATATATTTTTCTCCAATTAATCCTATATTATAATATTAATATAATTTAAATATGTGTGAAAATTATAGCTAAAAACAAAAAATAATTAAAAAATAAAACTTTTTTTAATTTTAGTTTTTTTTCAAATACCTGTTTTCCGTTTTCCTTTTCCGTCTTATATCTGGTTTCTATTGAACGTCTAGTTTCCAGAAATGCGTTTCTTTGGGCACAATCTGTCAGATATTTTGTGTAAAGACTGACCAAATTTATACATAAATACAATAAGGCATTGGCTGTCATCTGTATAGATATATTAAATATATATATATATATATATATATAAAAATAAAAAAATTTTTAAAGAAAATAAATACTAATAATAATAATACTAAATATATAGATAGATATTATACTGAATTTTGTGTGTATGTTATATATTGATATTAGTATCAAAAATCAATATATATATATATATATAACTTTTTAGTATAATATAATAATAATAATAATAATAATAATAATAATAATAATAATAATAATAATAATAATAATAATAATAATAATAATAATAATAATAATAATAATACTGAAAAATATAGATACATATTATCAATATATATATATATACTAGTATATATATACCGGTATATATAGTATATATGATATATATCGACAACAAGAAAATTTTATATATAAAAAAATTTTTTTGTTATATTTATTTGTTATATTAGTATTAAAAATCAAAAAATATATATAACTTTTTATTTTTTTTTCTACTTATGATTGTTGTTGGTATGTCTCCGTCAATACACTCAAACATATATATATATACAGTATATATCAATATATATATATAGCATATATATATTGTATATTGATATAATAATAATACCAAAAAAAAATTGTCAAAAATTTTTTTAAGGTTATTAACATTGCTAATTGCTAACAGTGCAATATTGCTATTTTTTCAAATATCAATATAAAATAATAATAATAATAATGTAAATAAATTTATTTATATGATAATAATGATGATGATGATAAATTTTTATTTTTTGTTGTTGACAATTTATATAAATGTACTGTAATACATTACTATAAATAATTTTTTTTGCAGTATTAAAGTAAATATTTGTTTTTTATAATATATACGGTATATATATATGTTATAGATAGCTAACTACCAGCTAAATTAATATTAATGTTTTATATATATATATATATATATATATATATAAACTTATATATAAAAGGGCCTTACATTAATCTCGGGCATGGGGTTTTTGCTATAATTCTTAAACGGAGTGAGATACATTAATTTTGTAAAAAGTGTATTAAAATGTGATTTACGCGTGATACTATAAAATATTTAATTTTTAATTTTAATCACGTGATCATATATATTCTGAGATGTTTGCAAACCACTATGTCAGAACCTTACCTATAAATGATAGAAAAAAATTTCATCAACAATATTGTAGAGCTTAAATTGGAAATTTATGGGAAGAATTTTTTTTAAATTAATCAAAAAATAATTTTTTTATGGTTTTTCAAACTTGTAGAAAAACACATTATATAAAATAGTCGAAAATAAAATGACGTTATTTATGGACAATAGACACTTAATAGATAAAGATTTTAATACTATTACTTATTTTGAAAACAAAATTTTTTTATGTTAAATATTTTTTTAGATAATCAAACTTAATTACAAATTACATTATCGAATTAATATATTGCGTTTTTTATTATAATTTAATTATCTAAAAAAATATTTGACATAAAAAAATTTTGTTTTCATAATAAGTAATAGTAATAAAATCTTTATCTATTAAGTGTCTATTGTTAATAAATAACGTCATTTTATTTTCGACTATTTTATATAATGTGTTTTTCTACAAGTTTGAAAAACCATAAAAAATTATTTTTTGATTAATTTCAAAAAAATTTTCTTCCCATAAATTTCCAATTTAAGCTCTACAATATTGTTGATGAAATTTTTTTCTATCATTTATAGGTAAGGTTCTGACATAGTGGTTTGCAAACATCTCAGAATATATATGATCACGTGATTAAAATTAAAAATTAAATATTTTATAGTATCACGCGTAAATCACATTTTAATACACTTTTTACAAAATTAATGTATCTCACTCCGTTTAAGAATTATAGCAAAAACCCCATGCCCGAGATTAATGTAAGGCCCTTTTATATATATATATGAAAATATAAGATATAATAAACCGATTAAAATTGATATATATTTTTTTGAACAAATAATAATTATAATAAATGGTTTATTTTTTATGTGCCTCAGTTACTTGTTTAAATATTAATTAATTAATTATTTTTTTCCTATATATATATATATATATATATATATTAATATAGATTAATATATATATAGTGTATACAGTGTATGCAGCAAAACCTAATTTATTAAAACACATTTTTCTGTATATATATTATCCAAATTTGAAATTATAATTATCGTCTACTACTATGTATATAATAATAATAATAATAATAATATATTAATATTAAAATTTGAGACTTTATTAAAATTAATGATGCTAGTTAATGTTATTATTATTATTATTATTAAAATAATTATTATTAAATATTATATATATATATTTTTATTTTTTTTTGTAATTATAATTATTAGTTATAAATTTTTTTGTGTGTGTCGTTCATATTTATAATAATAATAATAATTATTATTATTATTTTAGTTGTTTTTTATTACAAATAATAAGTCTATAATTTCTCTCTTTCTCTCATTAATATATACAGTACTATCTATAATATAAAACCTAAATATACAGTAAATATAACAAATTATTATTATTATTTAGTTTAGGAATATTCTGGTTATAGATTTATATATATATATATTTAAGATTCTGTAGGGATTTAGTAGAAATATTTTTTTTTATTTTCTATAAATAACATCAAATATATATTTTTTTATACATATATGTTATATATTTGTTATATATAACAGTATTACCTGTATTTTATTTTTATTATTATTATTATCATATTATCACTAAATGAATTCCTAGTAAAATACAAATTGAATACAATATATTTGCCATATTTAGTTTAGTATTGAAATACATATATATATATATATATAATGTTATAATAAAAATAATATATATATATATTATAAATAACTTTCTTTTTTTATTTTATTTTTATTGTACTGAATATACAATATATATAAAATAAAATTCAAGAAAATAATAATAATAATAATAAAATTCATATTGAAATATATGTATTAATTTTATGACAATATTTGAAAATATTTATATATATTTTTCACTATTTTCTATACTTGCAATAAAATGCTACTTTATATACATATTATATATGTATATATGTATATATATATACATATATAGCTGTATAACAATAGTGGCAAAAAATAAAACAACTAGAAATGCATTATTTTTTTTGGTAAATAATTTTTTTACTGTATATTTATAATATGGTTTCGATAGCATTATAACAATATATATATATATAATATATGTATTAATATTAATACATGTATATTATATGTAAATTATTATCTAATATATCGTATTAAATTGTATTTATTAAATTTTATTGGATTATTATTTTATTTTATTTTTTCTGTTACTGATTAAAATTATTTAAATTTTATTTAAAAATAATAAGCACACACATAAAAAATAGTATTATATATCAATAAATATATTATTATGATATTTGTTAAAAAATGTGAAAAAAAATTTAAAAATTGATTAATAATATATAATATGCTAATAGATATTATAATCAATATATATATATATAATATATATATATATATACTATAAGTGACTACTCAATTGACTACCAGTCCTCCTCACTATCCATCCATCTATCTATATATCCCTAAGTGTCAGCCCGTGGGCTACTTATTGAGATTTTATATATATATATATATTAACCAATAGATACCAATACATACAAATAAAAAATAAAATAAAATAAACAGTTTTATAGATATAGACTGAATATATTCAAAAAAAATACAATATATATATATATATATATTAGTACAGTATATATAATATATAAGTACCGTATTTATATCAATTCACATATAAAAAAAATATTTATTTTATATATAATATAAAACTTCTAGATATATATATATATATATACTTTATGTATCAATACTTTATATATATTTGACAATATTGTTATTGTTATTATAACTTAGTATTAGTATTATTATTACTACTGATATATTATGAAAATTTTATACAATGTATTATTCAATATATTTTATATATATACATATACTGTATATAAATATAAATATATATATATTATACATACCATTCGTATAAATGCATTATTATTATTATTATATTCATTAATATTATTATTATTATTATTATTATTATTATTGAGAGATGTCTCCAAAATGAGATCAATCAGTGAACTGATGGCACCGCAGATGATACACCAGCGCATCGGTAACGGCATCATAGCATAGGTAACATAGACAATGAATATGATGTGCCAGACGGCCCCACCGGCTACCGACATCTCCAGCCGTTCCTCCCGGAGCTCAATACCGAAACCGATTTGGCCTATAAATACATATATAGTAATTAATTAATTAATTAATTAGTGTATGCAATATATATGATATATCATTATATATATATATGCTATAGTTTTTATTTGTTTAATATATATTATTTTATTTTATTTATTAGTTTTTTTTAAACTAAAAAATAATAGTAAGTAATAGAGAGAGAGAGAGAGAGAGAGAGAGAGAGAGAGAGAGAGAGAGAGAGAGAGAGAGAGAGAGAAAGCTAACATACATAGCATTTAAATATATTTTTTAATTAATTTTTTTTTAATTTTTACACAGAATAGCATTTTTCTTATGATATTTTTTATGATTTTATTTTTACTAATTTTTAATATATATATATATAATAATAATAAAAATTTAAAAAAAATAAATTTTATAATATAATAAATTATTTTCAATTTAATAGTAGATAAATATTATTTTTTTTAAGTTATAATCATTAATATAAATTGATATAATTTATTTTTTAAGCCGATTTGTTTTTTAATCACTCTATTATATATATATATATATATATATAAATTAAATATTAAGAGGAAAACTATTTGTTTATTTATTTATTTTTATTTAGAAAAAAAATTATAGATAACATAACATAGATTTATTTTATTTTTTGTATAAAATTAATTTTTTATGTATCCATAAAATTTAAAAACTACATATTTTTACAAAATATATAATAATTTTTCCAATAATGTCTATCCGTCCCCTAAATAAATATATAATTTTATTTAAACTAATAGTATATATATATTGTTTATTATATAATATCTAAAATTATATGTATATATATAGTATATATAATATGATATTATAAATCATGAAACATTATATATACAAATTTATATTTAGATTTTTAAAATTTAGACTTTATATATATATATATATATATATATATATATATATAATGAATTAAATTTGATTAAATTTATTGCTTATTTATATATATATATATATTTATATATATATATAAATAAGCAATAAATTTAATCAAATTTAATTCATAATATAATAGCATATTTTTTTATATATATATTATTTTATGATAATTTTTCATTTTAATAAATTTTGATAAATTGTTGATGTAGTAATAATAATAATAATAATAATAATAATAATAATAATAATAATAATAATAATAATAATAATAATAATAATAATAATAATAATAATAATAATAATAATAATAATAATAATAATAATAATAATAATAATAATAATTTATTATATTATATTCATAGACATCCTATTTTGTTTCCTATTACTAAAACTATATATATATATATATAAATATATAAAAAATATTTCTATTATTATTATTTTAATAAAAAAAATGTTTAAAACGTTGATTGAATTCATAAATATTACTATTATTATAAATAATAGTAAATAATATATTATTTAATGTGTGTATAGATTTTTATTTTATTTATTTTATAAAAAAAATCTTAAATTGCTAATTTTAAAATAAATAAAACAAAAAATATAATAATAATGCTGATAAAATAAAAAATTTTACAAAAATAAAATCAATATTTTTTTTTAAAAAAAATTGCTGAATGTTATGGGGAAAAAATTATGCAACAAAATTGATAAATTTAAATTTATTTATTTTTTTATATATTTTAATAATAATAATTTACTTGACAATTTATGCCATTTAGTCTAAACACATTTTATTTATTTTTTGTTATTCAAAATTTGTCAACTAAAATTTTTATATTTAATTTAATTTTCTTAATTTTTTTTTATCAAAAAATATATATATATATAACTACTTATCATTAACTATATATATATAAGTTATATATATATGCTAATAAATTTATGAATATATATATATATATATAAATTTTAAAAATTTTATTTTTATTAAATCACACACACATTAAATATATATATATTTAAAAAAATTAGTTAAAATAATTTCATGAAATATTTTCATAAGAAAAATACTATTCTGTGTATTAAAAAAATATGTTTAAAAATTAGTAAAAATAATTTCATAAAATAATTTCATAAGAAAAATACTATTCTGTGTATTAAAAAAATATGTTTAAAAATTAGTAAAAATAATTTCATAAAATATTTCATAAGAAAAATGCTATTCAATGTAAAAAAAATTTTAATAATAATTTTTTTTGTTTTAAAAAATATATTTAAATGCTATTTATATTAACTCTCTCTCTCTCTCTCTCTCTCTCTCTCTCTCTCTCTCTCTCTCTCTCTCTCTCTCTCAAAATCTATGTTATGTTATCTATAATTTTTTTCTAAATAAATAAAAAATAAATAAATAGTTTTCCTCTTAATATTTAATATATATATATATATATATATATATATATATATATAGAGTAATTAAAAATAAAATCGGCCTAAAAATAAATTATATTAATTTATATTAATCATTTTAACAACAAAATTAATATTTATATACTATTAAATGGAAAATAATTTATTATATTATAAAATTGATTTTTTTAAAAATATTTTTATTACTCTCTCTCTCTATATATATATATATATACGATATATATATATATTAAAAATTAGTTAAAATAATTTCATAAAAAATTTCATAAGAAAAATGCTATTCTGTGTAAAAAAATTTTAAAAATATATATTTAAATGTTATTTATATTAGATTTTTTTTTTCTCTCTCTCTCTTTCTATATATATATATATATTAAAAATGAGTTAAAATAATTTCATAAAAAATTTCATAAGAAAAATGCTATTCTGTGTAAAAATTTTTTAAAAAAATATATATTTAAATGCTATTTATGTTAGATTTCTCTCTCTCTCTACAAAAAAATAAGGTCTACTAACTAGTCTAAAAAAATAGACAATTTATCAAAAAAATAGGGATAAAAGTACAGTATATAATAAATAATTTATTTATATTATATATATACAGTATATATATATATATATATGCATACATACATACCCTGTATGTTAAATATAATCCACGTAAAAATAGCGGCTAAATGTAGATAATTGTTGGCAAACCGTTTCCAAACAGTTATTACGATAATTAATGATACATTGATGACAAACCAGGGAATGTTATATAGTATACGATATTTTAGTCTATTATGAGAAGCATCCGATGCTGACGATACTGATGATGATGATGACAACGACCCGGTAGTAGTAGTAGTAGTTATAGTAGTATCTGTGGCACTGGTAGTTAGAGCACCGGTAGTAGTATTAGTATCATCATCAGCAGCACTGGTAGTATCACTGATAGCGTAAATGATTAATAGGCTTATCTTGAGTAGTATATCAATGATGTTCAAAATGATCAACGATTTTTGTCGCTGTCGATGGGAGTAGCGCTGGTAGGCTGCCTCCAGATGACTGTCCTTGAAATCGTTGGTTAATTTTGGCAATAGTATACCTTTATAGCTGACTGACCAGTCGCTAGTGTGCGTCAAATATAGGGTAGGACTGCTAGCACCGCCACCACCCCCACCACCTCCACTACCACCAGTTTCACCGCCGGCACATTGTTGGTCATCATCATCATCGGTGCCATCGATGATTAGTCCGCCGCCGCCGCCGTCCATATCTTTGGCTCCGGTAGTTGTTGTAGTGGTAGTAGTAGTAGTAGTAGTAGTAGTAGTGTCCGGTTGTTGTGTTTGTTGGCACAAATCTATGGCATTGTTAGCTAACATACTGTCCTTTTTTGCCGACGACAACATACTATTGTCATCGACTAAACCACTACCACAACCACCACCAGTACTGTTGCTTATGGACAGCACCGGTATGTCTACCATCACCGCTGCCGCTGCTTCTGCTGGTGTATTGGTTGTCTTTGTTTGGCTTTGTTGTCGTGGACTACACCTAACACCAGTGGATCGGTTGTTGTTGTTGTTGTGGTGATGATGGCTGTCCTCGACATCCATATTAAGCTCTTCTCTAGACTTACCAAACAATCGGAGTCTAGTCTTATGTTTTCGTTTGTTGTTATCATCAGTTGTCGGCGTCGGCGACCTATTCTTATGGTTAATAATACTATTGGTGACCACAATATGCTGGACAGCAATCGGTTGGTCGCCATCTCTGGCTATTATCTCGTCGACAACAATATTGCAACACTTGTTGTCGTTGTTGTAGTTGTTGTTGTGGTGATTATCATCCACACCGACACCACTACCACCACAACCATCACTACCTGTTGTTGTTGAAGATAAGTGTTGTGACCGAGACTTACATAACATCTCATTTGATAAATCTATTTAAACAACACTAACAACTAAATGGTTGTTATAGTTGTCGCTGTTGTTGTTGTCGATGAAGAAGATTATGTGTTTATATATATATATATATATATATATATATATATATATATAATGTTTTTTTATCTTATATTAGAGACACAGAGATATTTAATCACCAATTAATCCCTATATTGTCGACAACAACGACGGCGACGACGATCCAGAAAATAGTTGAAAATCCATTGTTTCTATTATAGAGAGAGAGATAAAAAAAATTGTGATAAAGAGAGAGACTGAAAGAGAGAGAGAGAGAGAGAGAGAGAGAGAGCGAGAGAGAGAGAGAGAGAGAGAGAGAGAGAGAGAGAGAGATTTTCACCATAATATTTATTATAGCAATTAATTATTTAATGATTTATTAAGTTAAGTACTGTTAATAATATTTTAGTAGTAGTAGTAGTAGTAGTAATCAAAATAATAATAATAATTAGAGACACGATATAGGAATTTGTATTATTATTATTATTATTATTATTATTATTATTATTAAAGTTATTATGTTTTGATTAGAAAATACATTATCTATTAAGTCAATTGTTAGTCTATAGTATAATATTAAGAAAATATTTATTGTATTTTTTTAACTTTTTTTATTGATATACTACTATATATATTAGTGTATAGTAGTAATGTATTATAAGTATATATATATAATTTATATATATATATATTAATTTCTGTATTATTTGTTAGTTTAACTATAGTATTATAGCCGATAGGATATAAATGATATAATAATTTATATATTAGTATATATAAGTATATATCGTATATATTGGAGTTTTTAAGTGATTTATTAATATTTATTTATAGTATAAGTATATTAATGTCAATTATTATATACAGTACAGTATAGATATATAGATATATTTTAATTATTGATATAGCATAACAAAAAAAATTAATATTAAATAATATATATATAAGTTATATATATATAATTCAATATAAATTATTTTTCAACTAAAATATATTTTATATAATAATTTGAATTTACAAAATAATAATAAAATTTTAATATAATATAAATCAATTATAAGGAAAATTATTTTTTCCAACTAAAATATATATATATTTAAACATGAATTTCAATTTAAATTTTATATTTTATTTAAATCCATAGATACTAAAGTCATTTAATAATATGATAATATTAATATTAATGAAATATATTTATTTATATATATATTTGTTGTAAATTTGTGACGGTTATAGCACTAATCAAGATTAGATTAATTAGTTTAGATACTTTAGAAAAATATATTAATTAAAAAAATATTTTAATTTGTAAATTAGTGATCAAGATTAAGTTATGTAATATTAAAAACTAAAATACTGTAAAAATAAATGTTAAAATGCTTTTAATTTATAAAAAACGTTCATAATATATTTTATTACGAAATTCATTATTTAATACATATGAGATATTTTCTTCAATAAGTTTACATTTATATTCAAAAATACGTCTATTAAATATTATCCAGTGCCAATTAGAAATTCTTGCTTGTTTTGAAGCATATGTCCAAACATACATTGTTTTGATTTTTACATTATCATTAAATCGAACAGATTTCATTATTTAATTTTTTTAAATATTTTAAAAATAATTTTGTCATTTATAAATCTGTTACGTAAAAAAAATTTTAATATATTTTTAATACTATAATTTCTTGATCGAAGTAGTATATAAAAAAGTGAATAATAGCCACATGTAGTAGATAAAATGTGTTGCAATGGTATGTGATTAAATATAAATTTGTTACCATTTAATTTAATAAAAGTATATATTTCTTGATGATATGGTTTTTTACCAAATGAATCAAAATATTCTATAGGCCCAGTGATGGGAACATAAATAGCTAACCAATGCTCACCAGGTTGTGTTGATTTGTGTGTGTTTACAATAAATGCACAAGGTTTATTAGTTTTCAAATAAGATATTTTATTTAAAGGTAAAACTCCACAAAATTGACTTTTAGCTATTTTATCTTGATTGATAAAATTTAATAAGTCATATGTGTTCATATTTAATAATCAGTAGTTATATTTCTATTTTCATCAATTTCAATAGTATTATCAAAAACAGCATAACAAATTAATTTAATTGGATTAGCTAAATTTTCTGAAAATTTTAAATGCACATTAATATATCCACTTTTAGGTAAATTAATGTATTTATCTGTAAAGCTAAAATCATTATTTAAATTAAATGCATATAAACATAAACCATTTTTATAATTTTTGACATCAATAGGTGATGGATTATTAATAAAGTTATAACCCAGATTTAACAATAAATCATGATATTCTCTAGAAAATAAATCAGTTGTATAATTTGGTTGATATGGTAATTTTGGAACCATTTCTCCATTAACATTCAAAACTAAATGATTCAAATTAAAATTTTGAAATCTTAAAGGATCTCTGTAACTATTTCCTCTATAAGCAGCATCATCAACCATTCCTAATATAATTTTACTAGGCAATTGCCCGAGAAATAAATTATCTATATTAAAAGATGATTGTCCTTGTGTCAAATTAATTACTTTAATATTAGGTCGTTTTACTGGATATAGTGCATTAGATATTCTTAATGCTTGTGCGTGTGCATTAAGTAAACTTGGTGTTACCTTTACTTTCCTAGCAAAAATACTCATATCGGTAATTTTTAATAGTGGATACTGATCTGCTGTCATTGCTGCCTGTTCTGAAACTGTAGGCCATCTTTCATTTGCTTTAGTAAACTCTAATTTAATAGGTACACCACTAATAAGTAATTTCTTTGATGAAAAGATTGGCCCATGTAATTTTCCATAAAATTGCATTGATTTACTAGAATTACATAACGTTACTAAATGTTCATTTGGATTTTCGTAGTTATAAGCTGGTGTCCAAAATGTTGTAACAAATCCTGACGGTGTTACACTTCCATTTGAATAATTTGATTGTTTAGTAACGGCTTCAATAAATGACATATAATTATAATTTTGGGCTGCCTGACTAACTAATGTAGAGCCTAAGTATATTGCTAGTTGATCAAATGATGTATTTAAAATATAATTTGTTGGTGCAAAATTATTTATTGCTGCACCAAAGTTTGTCCCATCTCTATTTGTTAGTTTGCAAGTAAGCATTAAATAAATATTTTGCATATCAATATATTCATCTGCTGATGCTTGAATTTCAAAGTCAATTGTATTTGAATCGACAACATTTGACTTTGGTCTGTATTCAAGTAATTGTTGACTTTCTATTGCTCCTTGAAACTTTACTTTTTCAAACAAATTTAATTCTTCTTTTAATATTTCTGTTGCCATTATTAATTAAAAATATTTAGTTTTCGAGTTTTCTTTCTTTTTATAATCCTTTTTTTCTTTAACTTTTTTGACGGTCGTTTTTTTATTGCTTTATTTGAAGAATGTTTTGTTTTATTACTTAATTTTTTTGATTTAACACTTTTTGATTTTTGAGGTAAGAAATCAATATTTGATGGCTCTATTTGATTAATACCTTGAATTGGTATTCCAGCGCCTTTTTGACTACTTTTTGCTTGAGCACAATAATAAGAACTATAATCCATTATTTTAAACATGTAATCATATTGATTACTTTTATAGAACTAAATTATAAATGATAATGTGGTCTTATAATTATAGTAGCAAAAATTTTTCCTCTACGAAAAGTTAATACATTATTTTCTTCATCAGTAATTCGCAAATTAATTGAGTTAAATTGATTATATTTTAAAGGAATAAAATTTTTAATATTAAAATCATATTTTATAACTTCTTCTTTTTCGCTACAGTTTGTTGGAATTATTCTTAAAATATTAGTTTTTTTATTTTGATAATTTGAATCAATAATTAAATTACAATAAACTATAAAATAATTTATATTTCTTGTAATACTTAAAGGACGAATGTCACTTATTATTTCATTTCTTTCACTAAGTGTTGTTTTCAATATTCCAGTTTGATATTCACTTAAATGTCTTTTTTGAGATTCAAAATTTTCATATAAAGTAAAATTATCAAATAATTCATCTTCTTCTCCAAGATAATAGTTTTTAAAACCTAATAATTTTTTTAGATTTTCATTGAAATCAATGTAAAATACACCTCTTAACAAAAAATATTTAATTTTTTTCTGATTATTTTCTATAGGTAATTTATTGATTGGTTTTCCCATATCATGGTAATCTTTATCTGATATTATAATATCATCATATAAATTAAACCATTCTTTAGTTGGCATATAAAAATTACCATTTTTAATTTTATATATATTTTTATCTTTATCAAAATCAAATTCTATGTTATTGATTGACCATTCTATTTTTTTAAATGAAATTTTTGGTAAATTAGATGTTTTTGATGAGGGCATAATATAAACAGTTGGATATTTACTTTTAATATAATATTCGATTTTTGAATTAATTTTATTAATCGTATCTTTTAAATTATCTTTCCAATGAGTTTCTTTATTATGTAATATTTGATATTCTTCAGTTATATTTTCACCGAGGGAATAAGATGGATCAAATTCAACGAGAAATTTAGTTATATTATTTAATTTATCTTGGTCATTTGCAACAAAGTCATTTTTTATATCTCCATAAAAAGTTTCAGGTATCCATTTAAAATGAAATATCAATTTTAAATTTTCTAATGGTTTTTTTAACTCAAGTTTTTTCGGTATAATTAGCTCAGTTAAAGCACATTCTTGAGGTTGTTTAAATGAAATTGGAGGATTATACTCTACTTCTATAATACTTTCATTATTATCATTAGTTAAATAAAAATATTTGTCATCATTTTCAAAATAATTCATTTTTATTAAATTTTTATTAATTCATTCCCATAATATGAACCTCTTATTATAAGATTATTTTTATCTTTAATTTTATATTTATAATAAGGAGATGTAAATAATATTTTATGAATTATAAATACTTCTTCACTATAATTAGGT